GGGGACACAGAGATGTGGAGAGGTTGAGGGGCTTGTCCAGGGTCCAGCGCAGGGGCCTCTCGCAAGCTGAAGCCCGGCTGTGCCGCCAGGACCACGTGTGGCTGCCTCTTCCCCAGCTCAGCCCAGAGCAAGGTCTTATTAGCTCCCAGCCGCTTTATCCTTCCCTCTGCCCTTTCCACCTCCTCCTTTGGTCAGAAAAGTGAAGGTCATTTCCTGCACATTGCCTACCATTGTCTAGTGGATTCTTTTCTTAAAAACAAACAAAACAAACACCAGCACGTCCTGTGTACTACACTGGAAAAAACCCAAGATTTGGAGTCAGGCCAGCTGGGTGCCGGGAAAGAAAAGACCTGTAATGTGCCCTGAGGACCTCTGCGGGCAACTCCTTTCACCCAGGCTCCAGAGCCCTCACAGCCCCAGCGGGGGCACTTCTAATCCCCAATTTGAGACCAGAAAACCAGGCTTAGTTTGATCGGTCTTAAAGCCACTGCTTCTCCAGGGATCCATGTCCGGGTCTGGGGCATCCTGAAGCCCTTGCACTACTTTCGCTTCTCCTTCCGGTGCCCCCCCATACACACCTGTGTGAGAGCCTGGGAAGACGTGCAGGTGTGCAGGGAGGGAGCAGGACGGGCGCGGGGGCGGGGGGCAGAGGGGCAGAGGCCACCGCAAATGCAACATGCACGGTGGGCCCCGCAGTCTTGGTGCCTAAGCTAAGCCACATGCACAACCCTTCCTCCAGTTCGTTGGTGATTTACCATTCGCCCTCTTGCCCTGGGTTAGGAGTCACGTACCTCAGTGACAGCCGTGGGTTTTCAATTGCTGACGAACGAGAGTTCGTTGAAAAGCTGCTAATGGCTGTGGCCATTTAGCCCTGAACGCAATTATAGCCACTTAGCTGGGGTGTACCTTGGTGCGCCTGCTGTTTCCTTTAAGACTGTAAACAATGCCTGGGAGGGTAGAGGAAAAGAAGATGGTTTGGGGAAAATGCTGCATTCCACCTCCCTGTTGGGGTTTTATTGAATTATCCAAATAGACCTCATTTGATGTAGCGATCAACCCTTGCTGCCATTTCCTTCTCGATTCTGCGTCATCACTAGGCACTCGCGCCCATGTGGTGATAACTCCCTAAGCAGGTCAGCTTCCTCGTCTGCTTGGGTGGGTGGGAGGGAAATACCCCTTCTGCCAGGGTGGGGCATTATTCGTAATGTAAGACTACCTCGTGGCAGCAAAACACCTGCCTGCTCTCTGCCGATGAGCTTTTAAGGGGGGAAGAG